TACCGCTTTCATTATGACTGGCGCAACTTTTAGTCCAAATCTCAAACGTGTTAAACAAAATCTTTTTCCTCGGAACTCAACAGTTTGATAAGTCCAAAGTTTCTTATCAATTTTTAGTTGCATGTAAGCTGAAAATAAATCAATTATTGAAACATTTTCTCCAAACCGTCTCCAGTCTCGAAGTTTGTCAGCACACGCATCTGTGTTCGCAGTGAATGTTTCAATAAACGTGTTCAGCTCCCTTACTGGTCCAATACTGGTCGTACTTTTCCTTTATTTCGCTGCATGACTGCCATGAGAGGAACCAAACCTTTTATTGGATCGTTTTTTTTTCAAATCGTACTTTTGCAGCCATTTTTTCTCTATCCATCCTTCAATTTCTTTTTCGTAATCGTGTTTTATGCCAACAGGAATAGTGTATTCAGAAATCTTGTTCACTAAAGTTTTAGGTTGAGAATTATTATTCTAATTTCACGCAATTATCTATTCTCGATTTTCTTTTTTAAACGAAGCTGTGAAATCTCGAGCTGTTATATTCAAATTACTGACATCTTTTGGCATATCACTTTTTAGTCCAGGTAAACATGATTCGTTTCTTCCTCTTAAAACAAACATCACGAGTTGCAGATATTGATACTCCACCAAAAGCAACTATTCCATCCATACCCATCAAAAAACAGTAAACAAGTGGTTTGAAGTCAACTTCAAGTGCATCCACAAAAACTTCATTCCCATTTTGCGTGACGATTCGAGTTTGGCTAACGCCTTCGCACTGTTGTTGTTGTCCATTTACAGTTACCATGTTAACTACTTTCTTTTTAATTTTTGGCGCACATTTTTTATAAATACAGCAGTTACATCCAGAGTCAATCAACACATCACGAAGAACGCCATTAATGTCCATGCGTATAGCAGGTAACGCCTTATTGATCGTTTGGGGAGAGAGTTGGCGCGAACATCTTCTCCCTCGGCACGTTTTTTGGACAAATTCTTGATATGCATCCTTTCTTTTGACACGAGTAACACAAGACATCGCTTGTCTCCCGTCTCCAACCCAACTTGCTTCGATTGCTATGTCTTTGTAGATGACAATCTCTTGCAAAATGATTCGGAGTATACATTTATAACAAACTGGTTGTGTTTGATCTTCAAACAATCTCAACTCAGCACGTCTTTTTGTTGCAGCAGCAGCAAAATTTTCATATGTTCCATCGTTCCGTTCTTCAATCATGAGTGCTCTTGCTCGTGCAAGTATTTGTATAGTAGTAAGACCATCCATACGAATACTTGATCTCAGCATCCGTCGAACTTCCTCAGGAAGCCCAGAAACGAAGGCACATGGAATAGCTCTGTCTGGTAGCCCACCAATCAGCGTAGATAATCTCCGCAGTTCCGCCAAATAAACATCAACTGCCTCTCTATGCTTTAATTTTCTTGTAATGAATTGTTCGTAAGCTGTAAATGCATCAACGGCGAAAGCTTTTAGCAACGCCTCTTTTATCAGGTCAAAATCTTCTTTATCACTTTCTGCTAACTGTTGATATACTGCAAATGCACCATTTGTGAGACGGAGAAAAACAGCGCTCGCTAGATCGGTTACACCAATTAGTTTGCATACTAGTTCCACTTTTTCCAGCCATTCTGCAGCTGATTGTTTATCGTTTCCACTAAACTCCGGAATTAACTTTAAATCAATTTTAGTGGACATTTTAGCCGAAATAGCTTGTAGTTTCACATCAAAATCGAATTTATAAGTTTAGCGTTAAACGCCTCATATTTTCTAATGCAATTCAACATTCAACAACAGTTTATATACAATGATATTCTTTTGGTATTTACTACTACAACTATGACTTTACTTATTATATAAAACTATTTACAATTAACGCAAACCGATCGTTAACAATCATAAAATATAAGTACACTTTACATCGGTCGTTAACAATCATAAAATATAATTACACTTTACATATACATATATTTATATATATATATATGTATATATATATATATATATATATATATATATATATATATATATATATATATATATATATATACATATATATATATATATATATATATATATATATATATATATATATATATATATATATATATATATATATATATATATATTTATATATATATATATATATATAGATATATATATATATATATATATATATATATATATAGATACGTATATATATATGATTATGTATGTATGCATGTATGCGTGTATGTATGTATGTCTGTATGTATGTATGTATGTATGTATGTATGTATGTATGTATGTATGTATGTGTGTATGTATGTATAAATGGTATATATATATATATATATATATATATATATATATATATATATATATATATATATATATATATATATATATATATATATATATAAAAGTACTAGAGACTGGCTTCTGAAAAAAAAGAGGTCGTCAATACTAAAATTTACCCGACTGAACTGTGTCAAATACCCGACTAACCGACTAAATTTGTCTATAACTTTAAAGTCACCTTTTTTTTTAAGTTTAGTTTTAGCAACTCGAAGATTTAATTCCAAAATTGTATAATGCAAAAGTACTTTATTTAAAGCAAATTGAAGTTATTCATATAATAAAGTTAACAAAAACATAAAAAGTTTAACTTTGGAAAACAATAGAATTATGAGGTAGAACACCTAAGATCAGCTCAAACAATTAGCAAGAAGAATTCCAAAACTATAAACACACTAAACTATATTTTATTGTGATTATATATTTTTTATATTGAGATACTCTTTTTTTTTTTTACAACTACAGGCTACATAATATAGTTTACAGATTTCAGTATAAACCAACAGGAAAAGTAAACAATGTTAAAGAAAAAACAAATAATTTGTTGCTAATGTAAATACAGTATCGGACAAAACAAGAGCAACCAAATAATGCTAATTTAGTTTCTTTATATAAAAGTGCTGCATTTTTTCAATTAAGAGAAATAACTATGTAACTGTTTAGAGATAACGTTCTTCAAGTTTTATTCATCACAAAGTTCGTTATTTGTACACGAAAATTTATAAATTAATCAAAAGTATTAAAAAAAGTTGATTTCCTTAAGAACAAAACAAGTGCAACTCCACAAAATGTTGACCAAGCTGTATTTCGCTATCAATATTTCGCGGCGAATCCTTTGTTGTTGATCACAGCCTTGCATCTTTGAGGCATAGATTCAATCAGATGATCAAGGAAACTTTGTGGAATCGCTGCCCAGGCCTTTTGGATTTGTTCAAACAGTTGATCCTTTAAACGAACATCTTCACGATTAATTCTGCGGTTGACAATCTCCCACAGGTTCTCGATAGGGTTGATATCCGGAGATTGAGACGGCTAATCCATCATCGATAGGTGGTTGTCTTGAAACCACTGCTTGACTACTTTTGCAGTGTGTTTCGGATCGTTGTCTTGCTGAAAAACCCATTTTATTGGCATATTCCATTCAGCAAGAGGTAACATAACATCTTTCAGGATATTTTTATACATTAAACGGGCCATTATTCCATCGATTCAATGTATTGGACCTAGACTGTTAACAGAAAAAAAACCCTAGACCATTACATTGCCTCCACCTCGCTTCACGGTCTTATGGCAGTGACGTAAATCGAGGCGTTTTCCGGCCGGTCGACGTACACGGCAAATGCCATCACTCCCAATGATGTTGAACTTCGATTCATCACTAAACAGGACAGTTCGCCATTTCTGCACATTCCAGTCAATATGAGATGTTGCAAACAGGAGTCTTTTCTTTTGGTTCTTTAGTGATATCAGCGGTTTCTTTGCATCTTTGGCGTCGAGAAAACAATCCGGCTTCAACAGCACGTCGTCTGATTGTTCGGTCCAATACAAGCAGCTCTAATTGCTTTTGTATCTCAACTGATGATATCCGGGGCATCTTCTTGACGGATCTGACGATCATAGAATCTTCTCTAGAAGTGGTGGAACGCGGTCTTCCACCTTTGTTATCTGCTGCCAACTTACCCGTAGAACGATATTTGGAACATAGTCTTAATACGGTCCATTTTTTCACGCGATATTTATCACAAATACTTTTTTGTGACATTCCACTTACGTAATCGCCAATAATTTTCTTTCTTAGTTCTAATCCAAGACTGTCGGGAGCCATTTTTGCACTTGAAGTCATAAAAATAATAAAAATAAATAATGACACTTCTCAAGGCTTACCGTGTTACATTTACCTTGTGATGATACAATAATGCTCTGTGGAACACGTCTGGATACTTCCTTTAATTATTAAAAAACTTCCGTGACGTTGACACGGACCAGACCTAAGAAAATGAAAGAAACCAAAAAAGTTGCATTTGTTTTGTCCGCTGCAAAATGGCACTTCTTTACGAAATTCTGCCTGTGTGCTGTCACCTGATTGCTCATGTCATGGCATGCTATGACTTCAGACTCCTGAACGTTTTCCTGTGGTAGTATAGTTCGTTTCGTTTTTAAGACATGCAAAATTAGGAACACTTTTTAGCATTGTTCGATGTTGGTTGCAAATGTTTTGTCCAATACTGTATATTTATTTATTCAATTATAAAATTATTAGATTTTATATATATACTACTAGGTACGTAGACTGTTTTTTTTAAATTGATCAAATACAAAAATGTTATATATTATTAGAAAGCCCTCAAATTTTAAAGGTGAAAAAGATGATAAAAATCGGACTATTTTATCAAAAGTTATGACGTTTTTAGTACCAAATTTTCGATATATGGATTTCTTGATAAAACTGTTGTCAAAAAGATTTTTTTGTACATAAATTGTTATAACTTTGCCAATTCTAATTCAAACATCTATAACCTGGTATCAAAAGATAGATGTAAAAAAGGGCTATAATTTTCAACTAGATTTTAGGTAAAGGGCGCATCCAGGGATCCGGAGGGGGCGCTAATCCACCACCTACACCTCACAAAAATACACTTTTTTTCATAAAAAGTTTTTTTCTATTTTAAATTACAAATATTTATATACAAAAAGTTGTTATTATCTTATTCCACATCACTAGCAAATATTACAAGTCTATCTCAAAATCGGGTGTTGGGTTTTGGGTAAGGTTTAACACACTCTATCAAAATTTCATTCTTTTAAATATTTCAATTTTTTCTAAAATGAATAATTCTAGTATAAAAAATAAAAAATATATTTCGATACTTGGAAAAATTGTAACTATTGGTGTATAAATTGCCTTCATGGAAGGGGCGTAAGTCGCCCCCCTTTCGACCCATTCCTAAAAAAATTTTAATGAGAATTTAACAAAAAATGTTTAAAAACGGTTTTTTAAACACATATAAATAGTGTAAAAACTATTTTACCACATTACAGTCGTGTATAAATTGCCTTCATAGAAAGCGGCGTAAGCCGCCCCCTTCCACCTCTTACCTGAAAAAAAATTTTAATAAGAATTTAACAAAAAATGTTTAAAAATGCTTTTTTAACACATATAAATAGTATAAAAAACTATTTTACCACGTTACAAGATGTATCAGAGTATCCATTTTGTCATGTAAAGGGAAGGACTACCCACTCCAACCTAAAAAAAAAATACAGCAACAAGTCTGTCTGAACCTCTGGCGCGGTGTTCGCTCACCCGTAAGTTACTTTATGTTCTTTATGTATGTCTGTGTTCTGTCTGAACCTCTGGCGCGGTGTTCGCTTACCCGTAAGTTACTTTATGTTTATGTTTATGTTTTTGATGTTTTTTTATGTATGTTTGTGTTCTGTCTGAACCTCTGGCGCGGTGTTCGCTCACCCGTAAGTTACTTTATGTTTTTTATGTATGTTTGTGTTCTGTCTGAACCTCTGGCGCGGTGTTGACTCACCCGTAAGTTGATTTATGTTTGTTTGTGTTCTGTTTATACTCTAATGCAGCGTGAGCTCAGTAACTAACTACTTACTCCAACTACAAAACGTACACTCACCTTAGACTCCTGTATTTTGTTAGATGCAGTGTTTTTCCTTATGCACTTCCAAAATGTCATGCCTGGTTTTCTCAAAGTACTGTTGCGGGAAGTAGCTCCTTTTAACTACTCCAGGTCAGGTCAGGATAATCGAGATCAATCTTGCTACTGGTATCACGTAACCCAGTACCACCTGCCACAAGCCCTGCTGCCTTGCAGAGTGTGCTCTTCTTATGCAAAGGCTAGGAGAAATAAACTCCGACTAAAAATTCCCCTGCCTTGGGGCTCTTGGTTGAGTAAAGGCTAGAGATGGTGTCTCGATAAAAACACTCATCTTGGGCAGATGTTAACTGCATCCAGCTAAACATCCCCTGCCTTGGGGCTCTTGGTTGAGTAAAGGCTAGAGATGGTGTCTCGATAAAAATACTCATCTTGGGCAGATGTTAACTGCATCCTGCTACTGTCTTGTAGAAGGCCTCCTAGGCAAAGACTTTAGGGGTAAGCAGAAAAATTCTGCTAACCTTCTTCATCTATTAGGCTGGCGTAGATGTACCCTGTGTTACATTGTTTCCTGCCTAGGATGATGAATGCTGGATCTCCTTGACTCTACTCATAGAATTTTGCTTATGCCTCTATGATAATGGCTATGCAACTCTTCCTGTTATCTCCAAATGAGGGTACAGCTCTAAAACTCAGTTTAATGGTTCTGAGGCCGGCTGGTAGTAAGGTTTCCCGAACTCTGTGGTAGCTCTCAGAGAGGCTGATTCCATCAACAGCTGCAAAATATACAGAGTATTAACAGTGCCATGTTGCGCATGGATGGTGTCCCTGTTAATGTTTTTGGTGTGCATTGTCAAGGCCACATAAGGAGCCCTATGTCACGGCTTAGGGTTAATTAACAGGACTGAGACAACTGCATAGCTCATTGATTAGGAGGCTGTGCTCTATCTATGAATGAGTCAAGTTCTCATTAAACCCAAATCATGACCAAAGTAACCAAAAATTTAAAACCTAAAAAACCATCCCCACCACCTAAATATTTTAATATATCTTTTACAAATATTCGCGGTCTACGAAGCAACTTTCCATCAGTTGAGTCTTACCTCCTGCAAAATTCACCAGACTTGCTTGCACTCAGTGAAACAAATTTAAGTTCTGCAATTCCTTCTTCAGATGTCAGTGTTGATGGGTACTATCCTTTGATTCGTAAAGACTCCAATAGTCACATGCTAGGTTTAGGGGTATACATACGCATTAATTCCCATATTTGTCGTGAAATCAGGTTCGAATCCTTTGACCATTCTTTTATGTGCTTTCGCCTAGCACCTCTTCGCTCTATCACCTTTCTCTTTGTTCTTTATCGTTCTCCTTCTTCCCATGATTGCACTCTTTTAGATGTTATCTCTGATCAAATTGACCATGCCCTCTCTCTTTACCCCTCCGCCAATATTGTTGTTGTTGGTGATTTTAATGCCCATCACACTGAATGGCTTGGCTCTAACACCACTGATCCTGCTGGCACTAAAGCCTTTAACTTCTGCGTTTCTCAATCTCTTACTCAGATAGTTAACTTTGTGACTCGTTTTCCTGACAACCCTAATCATTTACCTTCACTCCTTGACTTAGTCTTGTCTCTGACCCTAGCTTATGTTCAGTTTCTCCCTTTTCTCCCTTAGGTGGTTCTGACCATGCAATGATCTCTATAAATCTTTCTTCTCGTACTTCTTTTTTGGGCTCACCTTATCATCGCACCACCTACTACTACCCTAAAGCTGACTGGGATTCCTTTCGTGATTTTCTTCGTGATGGTCCTTGGGCTGATGTTTTTTCTCTCTCAGCTGACAAATGTGCCTCCTACGTAACCTCCTGGATTCAGGCTGGAATAGAAGCTTTTATTCCTTCTCGTCGGTTTCAAGTCAAGCCTCATTCTACTCCATGGTTTTCTCCTTCTTGTGCGGCTGCTATATCCAATCGTAACCATTTTTTTCATCTTTTTCAAAAGAACAACTCTCTTGAGAACAAACGGCTATTTATTATTGCAAGAAATCGATGTAAAAAGGTGCTTTCTGATGCTAAACTCCATTATTCTCAGTTCACTAAATCTCGCATCTTATCGCAGAAGTTAGGCTCTAAAGACTTTTGGAAAATCTTCAACAGCATTGTTAACAAGGGTAGATCTAACATTCCATCTCTCATTCATGGGACTGATCTTGTTACCTCTCTCAGGGATAAGGCAGAACTGTTTGCAAAGAACTTTTCTTCTAATTCCACTCTTGAATCTTATGGACATTCTCTTCCTTCCATTCCAGTCAAACAGGTTGACCCATTGTTAGTCATTCAAATCACTCCAGCTTCTGTTGCTAAAGTCATATCTCAATTAAACTCGTCTACAGCTTGTGGTCCAGACAACATTCCTGTCACAGTCTTGCAGAATTGTTCTCCAGAACTTTCTTCAATTCTCTCTAAACTATTTAACAAGTGTTTGACTGAGTCTTGTTTTCCTGCTTGTTGGAAAATGGCATCTGTGGTTCCAATATTCAAAAACTCTGGAGAAAATTCTGACCCCTCCAATTATCGTCCGATCAGTCATCTTTCTGTTATTAGCAAGGTCTTTGAGTCTTTAATCAACAAATTCCTCACATCTCATCTTGAGTCAAATAAACTGCTGTCAGACAATCAATACGGTTTTCGATCCTCTCGCTCTACGGCCGACTTGCTAACTGCTGTAACTGAAAGATTTTATCGTGCATTAGATGGAGGCGGTGAGGCTAGGGCTATTGCTCTCGACATATCTAAAGCTTTCGACAAAGTTTGGCATGCTGGTCTTCTCCATAAGCTTGCTTCATATGGTGTTTCTGGGAAAGTTTTTGAGATTATCAAATCATTTCTTTCTGACCGGTTTATTAAAGTCATCCTTGAAGGCCAACACTCTTCTTTATTTCCAGTAACTTCTGGGGTTCCCCAAGGTTCCATCCTGGGCCCTGTTTTGTTTCTTATCTACATAAACGATCTTCCTGACAACCTTTCATCTAAAGTAGCTCTTTTTGCTGATGACTCAACTTTATACTCCTGTCTTGACAAAAAGTCTTCTCTTTTCGATCGCCTAGAACAAGCAGCTGATCTTGAATCTGATCTCACTTCAGTAATAGATTGGGGTTCACAGTGGCTTGTGAATTTCAACTCTAAAAAAACCCAATTGCTTACTGCAAACAACTACCGTAATATGGTCAACATTCCTATATTAATGAATGGTTCTTCTAACGATTCACTCTCTCTTCTTGACAAGGTCTAAAAACGCATTGGAAATGTTGTTGGACCTGGACTATCTGCTAAGCTTGAACCTCTTTTCCATCGTCGTAAAGTTGCATCTCTTTCTCTTTTCTACAGATACTATCATGGTCACTGCTCAAAGGAGTTATCATCTCTGGTTCCATCAACTAAAATTCATTCTCGTTTTACTCGTCATTCAGCTAAGTCTCATTCGTTTTCTTTTTTCTGTCCCTGCATGCTCTAAAAACTTTTATTCATCTAGTTTTTTTCCCCGCACTTCAATCCTTTGGAACTCTCTCCCATCTTCATGTTTTCCTGACTCATACAACCTTCAACTTTTTAAGTCTTCTGTCAACCGTTTCCTTGCTCTATAACTCTGTTCTTTTTTTTTCCTAGTAACTCCCAACTTAATAGTGGTTGCTTGCAGCCTTTTGGGAGTGAATGCAAATAAAAAAAAAAAAATAAAAAAAAAAAAAAAGTCTTTTGAAATAAAAAAAGTAATTAACTATTGTCTTGGCTTTTAGTAAATGATTTGTTTTAAATTCCATTTATAAACTAAAATAAATAATTTTTAAAGATAGACACCACGTGAAGGTAAGCCAGAGCCGTCTATCAAAAAATTTGCAAGCCACAAAACTTGCTGTATCTATATTGCGAAGCCTTGCACTAGCTGTCTCTTCCTTGAGTGTCGTACTAATAGAAAGAGAGAAATATCTCTTATATTGTCGAACCAAGACATTCTTGACTGCATTAAGACAAGCAGAAGTCATTTCTATCAGCTGCTCATCAATGGAACATATTTGGGAGCAGCTCTTTCCCAAAAAAAATTCTACAAAATAATGCAGCAGGATTAGATTTGCAATCAGTAGTTGTTTTTAAAACATCTTTTAATACCTGGATGTCAGTGTCATGATCAAAACTATCATCCTTAGCTGATACATAAAACTTTGTCATCCATGGTCCAGTTAAAAGTTTTCCAAATAGTGCCAGCTAGCCCATTTGTTTAATGGATGTTGCATTACAAAAAGCTACTCTAAGAAGTGCTTGTAAACTAGAGCATTTTACAGTTCCAGTGGTCAGATAATGTAGTAAATCATTATAATGCTGCATTAATCAAACAAGTATAAAAAAAATGTGAAGACGGTTTCCGCGATATCTTGGAATAATACTACATGGCAGTTTGTTATTATCTAAAAAATTTACAAATCCTTCTGGGTCACCATTGACATCTTTAAATCTCACCTTGTTTACGGTTAAAACAATTTTGACTGCCATACCATTGTTGCCAAATAATCCACATTATTCCAATTCTAAAGATTTCAAGGCATAAAATAGCATTTTCATATTATGCTTCACAGCATAAAATAGCATTTGTATCTAGAGGGTGAAAATGTTTAGCTCGTTCAGATTCTTACCCATTGTATCAAATATTTTGGTTGTGGTAAGATGATTTACTGACAATCAGTCAGACATTGTGTTGGATATATTTGAGATTATCAAACTACAACATTCGTTATAGGGAAGCAAGTAAAAATCTGAATAAATTTTTGGCCCAGGATACTGGCGACGGTAGTTAAGATATGCCTGATTTATTAAATCTAAATGGAAAGAAATAATAAACATTTATATTAGTTAAGATTTGAAAGCATTATGAAACATTTTAACCCTTACATTTATATACTTTATATACCTTACATATATATAAAAAAAATTAAAAACTTCTATTAAGAATTTGTTTATTTAAAATAAAATATTTTTATAAAATATAAATAAGCATTAAAGCTTTTCAAAAACATAGAACAATCATAAAGATATTTATACATTAACCTGGAGAAGGTTGTGCTGCAGGAACTAAAAGTTAAAAAATGATGTAAACAACAAAAATAAAATAAAATTGGGATTAAATCTATAAAGTTTTATCTTTCGCAAGTTAAAAAAAAGCTTTTAAATTTATTAATCACAGTCGTTTAAGAAATGACTTGAGATAAAAAAACATGAATTAAACCAAAGCATACATCTTTAAATTTTTACTTAAATAAACATGACCGAAATTGCAATATACCAACTTAATAGAGGAAGGCTGAGTCAGTTGGACTAAAATTAACAAGAAAATTGTATATCAAAATAAACAAAACACCTTAAATTTGAAAACAGTAAGTAAACAGTGAATAAATAACAACACGCATATAAGTTCTGCATAACATTTTTATTCACTAAGCATATAATGAAAACATAAATACACAAGTAAACACTTAGAAAGGTTGTAAAATGATTTAAACAATGACAAAACATAAAGTATTCTACAATAAGTAAATGTTAAAAGACATTAAAAATGATATTTTTTGTATTAAAATACTTTTAAGGCATCAACATGTTTATTTTATTATGAACAACACCAAAAATTATATTGTTCATGTCATCCCTATATATCACTATCATCTATCATATCACTATACATCACTATCATATCTATACATCTATATATCACTATCATATCTATACACCTATACATCACTATTACATCTTATTTATACACTATACATTACTATCATATCACCATACATCACTTACGGAATCTCAAAAACTGATGAAATAATAAGCCTGCATTTAAACAAGAAGGAAACATTAGAAATGTTTGTGTAATGATTTAAACAATAATCAAAAGACTAAGTATTATACAATAGATAAATCATAAAATATTAACATACCAACTGTACTCAATGTAGATAAAGCTAAAGGTAAAAAAAGATGTAAAGAACAAAAAATACATAATTTTCGCCAAAAAAATCTATGCACAATTGTTTTAAAAAAAAAGTCTTCAAACTTACCAACCATAGCAGATGATGACAAAGCTAAAAAAATTTTAAACTTACTAACTGTGACACTGCCACTGGCAGATGTTGATAAAACTAAAATAAAAAAAAGGTGCCATCAAATCAAATAAAAAAAGTATTAAACTTATAGTATAGCTTTAAAGAATAAAAGTAGAAACACCTAATAAAAAAATATTTAACTATTTATATTTATATTGACTTACCAACTGCATCAGATGACAATGAAGCTTAAGTTAAAAAAGGTGTATTACAAAAAAAAAAAAAAAGCACTTTTTTGGCAACAAATCTAACAAAATAAATCCAATAAAACAATTTTGTAATGAACAAAGAAAAGTAGTTGTGTAAATGACAAATAAAATAAAGATGTAAATACCGAATATTAGGTGTTACTTAAAAAAGAGTCTTGAATAGGTTTAATCTAGCCAAGTATTTTTAAAAGTTTAACAAAAAAATACACTTGTAAAAGTAATAAACAATAGAATTATTATGAAAAAACATATTAATTTACTATCTGTGTGATTACTCAGTTAATTTATATAATTCAATTTTTAAATTACTAACAATCTAAGTGAAACAATATGCAATAAATATTTTTAAAGAAAAAAAAAACCCTCTCCTCCCTTATTTTTATAGAAAAAAAAAACCCTCACCTCAGCTATTTTTGAAAACAGAAATTAGGTACCAAAATTGTTTAACTGATTTAACAAATTGCTACATAATATTTTTTCATGAGAGCATAATATTTTTTCATGAAAGTATTAATTAATTAACTCAAAGAAGCTCAATGTCAATTATTGACATTATTATATTAAAAGTCGTTTTGTATTTTGTAAAATTTTGCCCCCCCCCTCCCTATAAAAACTTGTTGGACAAACTTGGGGACAAAATTGTTGCATAATATTAGGGGGGAGGGTCAATAAAATGTTACGGATGCGTTACGAGGGAGAGGGGGTTACAAAATGTCAAAAACTGAGTGACGTAATTTATGGACAACCCCTGAGCCAAGTTCTACTTAACGTACTTTTAGGTATACATCAATCCCTTTCCAAAAAAAAAAATCTGAAACAAGCGATTAATTAGAGAGACAAGAAAGAAGGAAATTTAGGAAACAAAAATAAATTTTATTTTTAATTTTCTTATATAAATATTTTCACAAACTTTTTAAAAATTAAGTTTAGTAGAAAAATTGATAAATAAAATAATTTAAGTTGATATAATTTAAAATATGAGTAAAAGGAAAATAAATAAAAAATAAATGCATGATTGGTTGTTTATTGTGATAATTGACTGAGCTTGTTGTCAATTTTTTCAGGTTATCAGTAATGAGGTTCTTTAAGATTATCGGTAGATTCTTCAAAGTTATTTAATTCAATTAGCTGTATGTGTCGTTAAAAACCGTTGAAGTTATTGTGACAAACCATAAATAAATCATAACTATTTAAAAATCTTTTTGAGATAAAAACTTTTCCAAAATATTTCTTACTTCGATAGACTTGTAATAAAAATCTTTTGTAAACTCATTTAACAAATCAAGTTGCATAAATTCTCCCAAAGAATTTTTTAATTTTTCAGTATTGAATTGTAAAGATAATTCGCAAAAAGGACACGCTAACTGCAACTCGTACCCAAAAAATGATTGACCGTAAGAAATATTGGCGTTTATTACACCATTTGACATTTTTTTATGCCATTCAACGTTTCGAACAACACTCACATAATTCCTCCCATCTAATGGCGTCAATTTGGGTCTTCCATCTTTTAAGTTAATCGGGAGAGTACGAACCCCGTTTATTAAAGGATAAACAACATTATAAAGCTCTGAATCTGTTTTTACCACATCTTGAGAAACAATTGTCATTCGAATGTCTGGATTTGTTTGTATTTGATCCAAGAATGATTGTTTTTTGCTAGAAATCAACGTGGCTTTTAACCAAGTTAATGGTCGCTCAGCTATTTCTAATACTTTCAAACTGTTATCAAGCTTAATGTCTACTTCAAAACTAGAGCTAACGCTTAAAGTTACTTTCCAAGGAGCGAATAATCGAAAGAAAGAAGACCCATTCTGAAATCCACACTCTAAAAGAACTTTTTCATAAATTCTTAAAAGTTTTTGTTTTGCACTTTCATCATTAGTGTTGGACTCAAGCAAACATGGAGTAAATGCTGTTGCAATTCTTAAACAGTTTTTCTTTTTTATTTTTATTTTTTTCTTGACATTTATAGCAAATTCTACATCCGGTACACTCTTTCGTAAAATCTTTGGATTAAATTTCTCAGAGCTAAAAATAATTCACACAATCCATAAATCATTTTTATCCTTGTTAATATACAAAGTAACAGATTTAAGATTGTTTAAATATTTTAACTTTATTTCTTTATTTAAGACAAAATAAATTTAAACAAATTAAAAAAATAATTTATTTTAGTTTTTTTTTATTAACTTTTAATATTCTTATTTTTCTTTTTCTTCATACTATTTTTATAGAAACTTCTATTGCTTTTGTTATTATTATTTATTATTTTTATTACTACTATTATTATTACAATTATGCTGTTACTTTTGCTCTATTAATCAATAAAGCTATTGTTATTATTATTATTATTAATATTCTTTTTCTTCTTATTTTTATATTATTGTAATTATATGATTGCAAATTTTAAGGAAAATAAATATCTTGTTGTTGTTGCTCACATAAACTTCCGTCCAAAAAAAAAGGGGCAAAAAAAGGGGCAAAAAAAGGGGGCAGTAACAGTATCAAAAACAGCCAAACTGAATTAGTTTGAAAAGGGACTTTCCGGATTAATATCAAAATAGAGAATAAAGCTGAAATTATAAAAAAGGAATAGTATTGAAAATTTCAAAAGCAGAATATGATCGAAATAGCTCAAAAGAAAAAAAAATTGAAATAATTAAAGAACTTTAAAGTTTGAAATTAGCAGAAAATAATATCAAAATAATTGAATAATTAACTAATATCGAAATAATCAAAGGGTGAGTCTATTCGCACGCACGTTGAATTAGACAATATTTTATTATAGTCTATTCGCACGTTTAAAAAAAAAGTTAGATTTTTAATATGAAATCTCTCACAAACAAAAAATGTTTAAAAAAAACTGAAGTCATATATTTTGAAATTTGATTTTTTTAATCAATTATAACAAAAATAAATAAAATTACTTAAATATAATTAAACTTTTATTCAAAAAACCAACAAAAACGTGCCATTAGATAAAATAAACATTACGAAGTACTTCTTTGTTTTAATTAAAAGGTTTTCTGCCCAAGCCAAAACCCTTGTCATTGTATTTATACTACACTGTGCCCATCCCTAGATAAGCAGTCAATATGTATATACACTACTGTGGGCATATTCTTCAAAAGTTCGTCAACATAAGTTAGTACTCCACTGCGTTAGTACTCCACTGCGTTAGTTTAATTTTAAAGTTAAAAACCAATAATAATAAATCTAATTTTTTAAAATTCCCTTTAAATTTGATGATCTTTACCTTTTTTTAATTAAATGTGCGAATAGCCTATAATTAAATATAGTCTACTCGCAAGTGAAAAACGTGCTAATAGACACTCCGATAATTAAAACCTGAATAATGATTGATAGACTGCCTGCCCAAACCAATCCTTCAGTAGATGTAGTAGCACTCCTTGCATGTTTTACCTATTTGTAAGTCTATGTAGTAATACTACTCGCATGTTCTATCTATTTGTCAGTCGATATAGCAATTGTCAGTTGTTGTAGCAGTACTACTTAAATGTTCTATCCAAGGCCGGGACGAAGTATGCGTGTGAGTATAAGGAAGGGGGATGGAACTCCCCACCCCCCTTCTCCTACTCCCTATCAATTAATTTTTTGTTCATTTAATTGGCAAATTTGACCCTTTTAGACAAGTCAATCAGCAAATGTCGTTCAGTCAGTTGGCAAATTTCAAAAAAGGAGGACTTTTTTTTTTCTTTTTTTTTTTTTTTTCGGTCAGCAAAAATTGTAATAGTACCATTTATAAACAAAATACCTACTCGCACCGGCCCTGATTCTCCTTATATGTCAGTCAATGTATGTAAACATTTTTCAATTTTTTTCTGTAGTTATTGTTTTCAATAAAGTTCTACATTTTCTGTGAAAGTGGTTTTTATTGCAAAGTTGGTATTTATTGTTTTTATTAAATTATCTACATTTATGAATTTTGAAATAAACACTTTTCGATAATAATTTAAAAAATCATAATTTCAATCTTAATCATTAAAATGAGTTTCCGCCATTTTTTTTTTTGACCATAACCATTTTTTCAAGTAATTAATTTTCAATGCTGTTCTGGGTTCCCAAAAAAATCTGTAAAAATGATTTTTGGTAAAAAATGGATTCTAATGTTTCAATTAAATATATTTCATATATTTAATATTTTTTAACATATTTTATGTTTTAGTAAAAATGTTGACCAGGGTAAAATTTTCTATTTATCAAAAATAGTGAATTTATCAAAAATAGTGAAGTGGAAATTATAGTAATGCCCCACTTTGATCTTTTTTTTTAACTCTTAGCATTTATTAAAAAAAGCTTTATCCAATTCACTCAACTTCAAACTTGGCAGTCTCTCTTTTTTCTAAATTCTAAATATGCAGCAATTCACAAATATGCCGCAATTCTCAAATACGCAGCAATTCACAAATAGACGGCAATTCACAAATACGCGGCAATTCACATTGCCGTGTAAAATTAGTAACACAAAATAAATGCAAGTTTAAAAAAAGAAAAGAAAAAAAATAAAACCCTTTTATTTTTTCTAAAATAAATAAAATAGTAATAGTAATAATAATTGTAATTATGTTAATGAAAAAAAAGTTTATAAAGAAATTTAATCGTAAAATAAAATAATAAGAAAAAACAAAACACATTAAAACAAATAAGTAGAAGTGAGTTAAAGCAAATAAGTAAAAAAAGCAACAAAATTAATTTGGTTTAAAAAAGTGCAAAAAATATTTTCAAAAAACTATTAGGATATGCAATCTTAGAGGAAAACATTAGATAGAAGTCAGGGGAGGGTTAACTCTGAACACTGTAAATATTATGCATAACTTTTAAAAACCATATTAAAACAGTGTGAATTAAAAACAAGTTTAGAATTCACTGAATCCATGAAAGTTGCCACAAAAATTCTGCAACAGAGTTGGCGATATGGAATGTCGCAAACTCAGTGGCAGATTTTTGAAAATAATAAAATTTTAGTGAATTTTGCAAAATATAAAATTTTGGAAAAAGTAGAACAGTAGAATAAGTTACTTTAAAGACCACAAATATTTGCAAAATATTGAAAAAATTTGGAAGTTATTATGATTTTTTAAATTTATATTATTTTGGTTTCTTATTCATGTTTAGGACTAATAGGAAACTTGACTCAATTATAACTTAACCAATCATCTATATGATTGCCATGTTTCACACAAAGGGTTTTTTATGTGAACTCAACATTACATGCTGAAAGCACTAACAAGGACACTTTTTATAATCAACATGGCTTTGCTGTTACTCTAATTTTTTTCAGCCTTGGTACCTGCTTAGAGGTATCACAGAGTTCAGGGAACCTTACTGTCAGCTGGACTTGGAACCATTAAACTGAGTTTTAGAGACGATTTCAATTAGGTCAGAATAATTATGATCACCCTTTTATTGGTAACATGTAATCTAGTACAACCTGCTTCATGTTCTGCTACCTTGTAGAATTCATAGTTTAAGTTTGGAGAAATTAGATTTAACTTAAAATATATATGATTTTCTTGGCTTCTCCTGTCAGATATATGATTAATATGTCAGATATATGATTTTCTTGGCTTCTCCTGGGTTTTGCTTATGCCTTTTTTGTAGTGGCTATGTAACTATTTATGTTATCTTATAATGAAGGAAAACTTATTTATTTATTGCAGGAAAACTTACATCTTCATTATGAAAACACCATTCTAATTTATAATGACAGTTTTCATTATAGTTTTTCAAAATAATTTGAAAACACCACTTAAACAAAACTTAATCTTCACATCAACTTAAATCATGTTGTTCTAATAATTTACCAGTCAAAATTTAAAAATAACATTGAAAGAAAATCTCAATAACTTTTTTAATATTTTTAAGATTTCATTATTTAATATCTTTTTTTTGCCAAAAAAAAACTATTAAAAATGTACCTATTGTCAAAAAGGATTCAAAATCTTTACAATTCAATGATTACTTTCTAACTATAGGTCAATACTTATAAACATTTGAAAGTTTTGAAATTTAGTTTAGTAGAATGTTTAATACAATATGTAACACCCTTAATCATTCTATCTTTTTCAGTCTGTGAAGAAAAAATAAAGCTGAAGATTGACTTTTTTAATATCTTATAATTATTTGACTTTTAAATAATGACAAAAGTTCATTGTTAATCTTATTGCTGCTGTAGATTTGAACATTTTGTTGGACCCATTTTAATAAAATTACTTTTAATTCTTTATTTGACGATTTTAATTCTTATTTTGATCGATGCTTTAAGGAACTATCATCGCTTATTCTCCTAAAATTTTTATATGCATAACTATAATTCTAATGTGTTTTTTTGTTTTACAATGTTTTACAATGTTTAAATAACACTTTAAATACTTAAATACAATGCATTATCTATTTTTTGAACTTTTACTTTCTGTACTCCAAAAATCTATTTATACTGATGATATTATGCTTTCATTGTAAGACTTTTATTTTAAATTAAAATTGAATGTACAGTAATATAAAAAAAAATAAACAAAAGCCTTTGATTAAAGAAGAAAAACCTACATTTAATGCTCAGGTGAAAACTTTTTTCTTGTTATTAAAATATATTTATAGAAAGTTACAAAACATTTTGTAATTTTTAATATGCTTCAAACTAATTTTTTAATCATTAGAACTTAATGTCTTTAAAAAACAGTTTAAAATGTAAAAAAATAAATAGCAAACATTCATTTTAATTGTATAAATATCGTTTGATTTATTGCTTCTTTTAGATGTTTTTTAGTACTTTGAGTAAATGTCTTTTAGTAAAAAAATACCAATTTTAAAAGAAAAAAGTTTTACAAGTTAAATCATCTTAACAAAACTGAAAAGGTACTTCGTTACTTGTTTTCAACCTTAAATCTTTGTAATTTAATTAATGGATTCATTTTTTCTTTTGTTAAATACTAATTTTGTTACTGTTTTAAATCTAAAAAACAAGAGTTTTCACAGAATTGCACAATTTTGTAATTGAATTAAAGGTAAAAGCTAAAAGATTTTGTAAAATATCATGTTATTCACATTTGCTTGGGGATTTAGTTACAGATGTCACAAAAAGTGATTTTTCTGAATACCCAATATTCGGCTAGGCACTTGTCTGAAGCACCGAATATTCGGCTGCAAAATATTTTGTGACGCTTACTTATTTTGTCATTATACTTAGTTTTTATACTTAAAAGTATAAAAACTATACAAAAAGATTACAAAAGAAAAAGTAAGAAAAAGAAAAAGATTACCAGCTTAGGTATATCTCGCATTTCTGAGGTAATTTCAGTAATTTATATAGATAGATATAGCACGAAGAACTATTAACATAATAAAAATTTCACTACAACCTGAACTTAAAGAATGATTTAACTTTAATAGGAATGTCAGTTATATGGTTGTCTTTTTTATTGGAAGGCTGAACTAGTATAAATGTGTAGCAGTTTCAAAAACTAGCATAAGTGTGAAATGACATAAATGCGCCAAAGAAATATGCAAACATAAGGTCTAAACTTTAGGTTTTATACTAACAACTAGGTTTATTAAATGGCTTCTCTTTCATAAATAAACTGTGTGAACAAGTATAAACTTTAATAAAAACAAAAACTGTATACCTTGCATACAATAAATTAAAACTAAATTGAAAAATAAGTTAAAAATAAATAAAAAATACCTTCTTTCTTGTAGATTGTTTGGCAAACTAAAATCTGTTCTGTCAAATTTTTTACGATTAGTGTGACCTCGTTCTATCATTTGCTCTAACTCAGTCAATTTTAAAGATGTTTTTGTGTCTGGCAATTGTTTACTGAGGTCAATTAAGTAAAAACAACCAAATCGCGATGTCGCTTCGATAGAAATGTTATTAGCACGTGGAAACATTAACATTTGTTTAAATATGCAAGATTGAAACCTAGTATATTCTTCATCCAACCAAACAGGTACTGACTCAAAATTATTTTCTACATACAAAGAATCTTTTCTGTTGCATGTATGTAATAGTTCAAACGCTCCTAAATTTTCTTCAAACTTTAATGTTGGGTTAGATGCAAGGGTATTTCCTTCCACAATTAAAAGTGATGAACCTTCCATGAAGTATTTAGATTTTTTTTTAGGTAACACGCCTAAAGTTAAAATTTTATTTGTATGAATAAGATTGTGTATTTCTGAACGAAGAAGATTTATAGATAAACTGGAGCCCACTGCAGTTACCAAAAGATTTAAGGTTCCTTCTTTTAGAGTTAGAGAAACAATTGCCCCACTAAGTTTTGAAAGCCGACTTGAATGAAATGAGATGCCCTGCATAATTGCATAGGACACAGAAAGTGGCAATTTAAATGAATATTCTTCCAAACTTTTTTGTGACCTCAAAATATGTAAAAATAAATCATTTACACTTTTTGTAGCCGATATCAAATGAAATGCATTTTGTGCCAAAATTGATATTTTTTCAGTTACTTTACTATCTATTAAAACTTCTGGAGTATTAGGTACTGGCCAATAGAATACTAAATTACCTTTCAAGTTTGCTGCCTTTCTAAAGAAAGTGTGCAACATTAATCCTAGTTCATGTTTATCTACTTTATTAAGTTTGTCTAAGCAGCTATAAAGATATGAAATTGAACAATACCAATTGTTTTCAACATTGTTTTCATACTTCAATGTTTCCATTAAATTAATAATAAGCAAGTAAATTTCAGCTGTATCCATGATTCCATTTTCATTTGAAGAGCTTTTTACTAGACCTACAACTCGTGCCCAACTTACCAATATCCGAAATAAGGGGAAAAACAAGAAATTATTTTTATAAAGAAAATGTATATATTGTGTTTTAAGCCGACCAATCAAATTCATTGAAATATCACAACTGATTGCACTATCTTCATTACCTATCAAGCATTTAATAATAGGAACTTTGGTTTTCAAAATTTCTTTTTTAGAAGATGAAACTAGTTCCAATGCTCTTGAGATTACAAATTCTAAAATATACTTTTCTTTCTCCAGCTGATTCATAGAAAATTTCATTTCAGGAGGAAATATGTTGCTTAAAAAAACATTCTGCTCAGCTGATATACATATATCAACATCTGATTCAGGTTCACACACATATATTGATGTTGAGCCATATAAAGATATTTCAAATGCTTTATCAATTCTATATTCTTTATCCACAAACCTAAAGTTCAAAGTTTAAAAACCATTTTTACTTTTGATATAAATATAATTTTTACTTTATTATTAAATTCATATAAAACTAATTTATACTTTTTTGTAATTATAAAAGATAAAAAATAGCTAAAGAAAAAAAATGCAAGTTTTAAGCATTCATACATAGGCTTTTAAATCTCTTTAGGTTTAAAAAAAAGTTCAAGAGAAAGTGTATGTTCCATAATGTAGGTATATATATGGAGGTGTTTTTTACAAAATTTTAAAATTATTCTAGGTTGTCCAAAAAGTTATGAACATTTTACTATTTTTATTTAAATCTTGAAAAAACCATAATAATAAAAACCTATATTTTTCACAAAATAAACATAAATCCAGTTCAAATTATCTCATTTTTCACACATATGTTGAGTAATGTTATATTGTAGCAGCTTAAAAGAAAAAGAAAAAAAAATGTCTACAAATTTAACAGATTCTTTAAATCACAAACACAATGAAATTCTTAAAAAAATGTTACATTCTTCAGTAAAAATTCTTTCAGTGGCTATTTATTTTTATTTTTTTTATATATGTCTTAAACAATATGCAAGTATACAGTATTTGAGTTTAGGGCTTTTGTCCAAATGAATAATTTTTCTTTTGTAGATGCCAGATTCCCATTGCCTAATAAAATTGTAATTAACGGATTTCGATGCTTGTTCACTATAAAAGCCAAATCCTATTGAAAAATTTTTCTGAATATTTGAGAGTTTATTTTGCTGGTCAGTATCGTTCTTTTTGGACTGATTTTCAAGAAACTGGGTTATTTGCTGGAGAACAGCATGCACTTTTGGAGGGATTGAAATTTTAAGATTTATGTATGCAATTTAAAATAAAGGTCTTTGTTAAGTTAGGTCTAGGTTAAATGGCGTCTTTGTACTTGGGATAAAAAACCTGAAAGCAGAAATTATATTTGTTCCTTGTAATCCAATTTTAGCACTTGCTAGTAATAACTCAAGCAATTAGATTTTATTCAAGAGTTTTTGACATTGATTACCATTGAATTCCTCTCTATGTATTGGTAGTCTTTGAATACCAAATTTATTTGACCAGTCAATAGCTTTAAAGAAACAAGAAACTGTTTGATTCAAAATAGTGTTTAAGTGATCAAAAAGGCGGCTAGTAATTCCAAGACCCATGCGCAATTCCTTGACACACAGGATTTCAAGTACAAGTGCAGGCCTTGTTTTAAAGCATTACGCATAGAGCGATTTACATAAGCTTTAAGCAATTTTACATAATCAGTGAGAGATTTTGGTTAAGCGACTTTTTATCATTTTTTAACTTTATTATTCTGTAAGTGGTAAGATAAAAGAAGTAATTATTTTTAAAAAAAATCATATTAACATTTGAATGATGTTTATGTAAAAATATTTATTACAAAAGTTTGAATGACAATTATGTTAGATATAAGCATTATTTCCCGGTGGGAAATCGGCTAGCAAACAGCTAGCTATAATAGTAACAATAAAGACAGCGATTTGGCCACGAGGATCACTAGCTTTTTTAAGTTAGCAAATAGTTATTTATATTTATAAAGATAAAAACAGCGATTTGGCTATGAGGACAGCGATTTGGCTATGAGGACAGCGATTTGGCTATGAGGACAGCGATTTGGCTATGAGGACAGCGATTTGGCTATGAGGACAGCGATTTGGCTATGAGGACAGCAATTTGGCTATGAGGACAGCGATTTGGCTATGAGGACAGCGATTTGGCTATGAAGACAGCGATTTGGCTATGAGGACAGCGATTTGGCTATGAGGACAGCGATTTGGCTATGAGGACAGCGATTTGGCTATGAGGACAGCGATTTGGCTATGAGGACAGCGATTTGGCTATGAGGACAGCGATTTGGCTATGAGGACAGCGATTTGGCTATGAGGACAGCGATTTGGCTATGAAGACAGCGATTTGGCTATGAAGACAGCGATTTGGCTATGAAGACAGCGATTTGGCTATGAAGACAGCGATTTGGCTATGAAGACAGCGATTTGGCTATGAAGACAGCGATTTGGCTATGAAGACAGCGATTTGGCTATGAAGACAGCGATTTGGCTATGAAGACAGCGATTTGGCTATGAAGACAGCGATTTGGCTATGAAGACAGCGATTTGGCTATGAAGACAGCGATTTGGCTATGAAGACAGCGATTTGGCTATGAAGACAGCGATTTGGCTATGAGGACAGCGATTTGGCTATGAAGACAGCGATTTGGCTATGAAGACAGCGATTTGGCTATGAGGACAGCGATTTGGCTATGAGGACAGCGATTTGGCTATGAGGACAGCGATTTGGCTATGAAGACAGCGATTTGGCTATGAAGACAGCGATTTGGCTATGAAGACAGCGATTTGGCTATGAAGACAGCGATTTGGCTATGAAGACAGCGATTTGGCTATGAAGACAGTTTAATAAGCTAAAAATCCTCTCGCTATTGTAGCTCAAGTCATATCGTAGTAAAATCACTGTTTAAAAAATTTTGATACGTAGCTGCCAACTGGCTATAGATTTGTATATTTGTAATAAGAAAAAAATAATTGCTTGAAAACTGCTGTAAGGCTAACTAGTCGCTAGCGCATTTCCCAATAGGTTACTTTGTTTATTTTGTTTTTATTTTATTGTAATGATTGATTTTTTTGCTTGAATAAGGCTAATACTTTAAGCTTAAAGCAAAGATCATAATAACATAATTTAATTCTGATAAAAAAGAATTAAATTATGTTATTATGATCTTTGGTTTTCCTCCCTAAACTTATTTTTTACTCAAAATAAAATTTTAAATAAACAGCTGCATCAAAACTTTGCACAAAACTTAAGTTAAACACTTATATACAGAGATATAATTTTAATAAATGATGTAATGAAAAATAATCTTTGCTTTCACAACAAAATCTTTAAATATCTTTAAAAATGTAATAATAAGTTTAATCATTTAATATTAAAAAAATAATAATAATAAACATTACCCTAGAGTAATAATAAAAAAAAAGTTAAATAACATTTAACTCAATTTGCGGTAATTAATATGATTGGAGTAATCTAAAAAAGTTAATGTCTATAAAAAATAAAATAATAAAGAAAATTTTATGATGTCAAATTCACATTAGGCTATTGCATTAAGCATTTTTCATTTAAAACAAGGCCTGAAGTGTGTCATCTGGAAGACCAATCAAAGGGAGGTTCATGCAACTTTTGTATTGAGCTGCGGAGAGCTTTGTTTTTTTACGTGAATGAACTCCAAGTGCTTATTGATATTTTTGGGCATTTGATCTAATCATAGCAAGTGTTCATAACTGTCCAGTCAAACCTGGCTTTTAAAAATCATTCTTTAAAGTTTAACACCAGGTGCACAGATATGTGGATGGAGCAGAGCCTAATCTGAGAAATGTGTTAGCCAATTTCATATCTACAGCTGCTTTGAAAGCAAATTTTCAAGAGCAAACATATATAAAACTTGTTTTAAGTTTTTATAAAATTCATTTACAGATTAAACAATAGCCAAAATTATGATTTTCTTTACACAAGAATCTTTAAAAGATTGAGAACATGGCCCTTTAGAATAGCAAAATTATTGTTTTTCTTGGTTATTTTGGCAATTTAATCTGTTCATGCAAAATTTGAGAAAGCCTCCATTCCTATTAATTCCTATTTTGATCATATACTCATTTGGGGAAGTTCACATTTCTTTTCACATCAATTAATCTAAAAATGTTATGGCAATACTCTATATCATGCTGATCATTCCTTGTTTGGTTTTCAACGTTTGATATATCAAAAAGCATATTTATTGAGCTATAAAAGGATGTCAAATTTTTATCATGCTCACTAAGTTTCTATGCAAGATAGATTCTATTGACCTTCTGCCCTTCCAGGTCCTAAAAAAAGTTGCTGCTTTATAAGTTTGCAAAGAGAAAAGCCTACTGTAAATTGGAACCTACTTAAACCTCTTATCAGAAGAATCAGAATTTTGAGAAGGAAACTAGGCATTGGAGCGATTTTGAGATTTAATATTTATTGTAACAGTTAAATCTTTCTCTCTAGTTGCTAATTTGACAGTGTATGAATCACCTACAGTTTTAACTTTTTGTTTTATAATGTCAGCTGTAATAATCTCTACTGCATGAGGAAACTAAATGATAGCTTTACTAAGTTTTTCTCTTGCATTCTGAACAGGACAAGCTTTGAACAAGAGATTTCTCTGCCTATTGGTTGCCAACAACATTGGCATACTTAGACAGGATACTGAGATGGTAAAAATTCTTGTGCTACTGGAGGTCTCCCTAAGAGGAATGAAGATGCCCTAGAGAACCATTTGCTAATTGGATCATAATGTGCTATTTCACAAACACTGGCAAAATGGGTTTGATCTTTGTTGATTTATTTAACTTTTGAAGTCCATTGAGATATAGTATTTTTTCTCCTCTTTCAATTTTTAAAAGTTAGGCAATTTTATCTTTTAATTTTTTAGTTTAGAAATACTTAATAATTTTGATAAAAACAGTCATAACTCTTTTAGACGTTCTAGAATAGCTTCCACATGTATACCTGAACCTTGCTTGGCAAACATTTTCTCTTGAACTTTTTTTTAACCCTAAAGACATTTAAAAGCCTACAAGCACAGAAATAATGTTTGGAAAAAAGAAAGGGTCAGAACACTTGTATCATTTGCCCCATAAATCTTTTTAAAGCTGCATTACTTTTCAAGATTTGTGTTTCAAATATGTTTGAGATAATTCAAATAAAATCCAACTAACTATTGCCTTATGAAGGTAAACAAAATTAAACTACCTATTGGGTTATGGAGGTGTGTACGTGTAGTTTATTATGCCGCTAAAGAATGTTTAGATAGCATATTCATATATCAAAATTAACGGCTGCAGCAATTAGAAAGCACTTATTGCCAAGCCCTATTTATAAAAAAAATTTTTAGAAGCTGCAATAAAAGCCAATATTTAAAAAATATGTTTA